CTCTCTCTCTCTCTCTCTCTCTCTCTCTCTCTCTCTCTCTCTCTCTCTCTCTCTCTCTCTCTCTCTCTCTCTCTCTCTCTGTGTGTGTTTTGGTTGCCTTTCCTCCTTCCCCCCCCTCCCCACCCCCTGTCTAGCTACCTTTCTGACCTAAATGGGCCATTGTTTTGGTTGATGGGGTGTTTGGGGAACAAAGGCTGGCTCTTGATTCTGTGCCATTCAAGCAATGGGTCAAGTACATGGAAGGTCCTGCAGGTTTATTGAGGATAGGGGATGGAAGTGGAGGGGGAAGAATCTCCTTACAGCATGTTTTATTCCAGGTATGTGGACCTGTTCGCACCTTCAGGTATGTGGCCTCTGTTATGCCAGGTTCGACTTGTTTTATTCCAGGTTCACAGTTTGATCTATCCGCCCGTCAGGTTGGTCAGCTGGCTCGTTGGCTTTTCTTTTGGTCCATTTCCCGGTCAATCCTTGGAGCTCTTTTTCTAACTCCCAAGTTCTAAGTGATTGGTGGATCTTTTGCTTTTTTGTCGAGCAACTGAACAATTCTTTTTTTTTTAACTTTTTTTAGTTAATTTTTTAATTCCTTCTCTCAAGTTTGTCAAACTTGCAAACCCATTTATCTGTCTGAGGGCGTACTCACACTAGCACTTTCTTAAATGTATCTGACTGCATTTTCGGCCACACCTGTATGCATCTGGTCACAATTCCGTCCGGAAAGAAAGTGGTCGTGTGAGTATGCCCTGATGGTTGGTTGGTTGGTTGGTTTGCAACTTTGCACTGTAGAAACTACTCCACTCTGACAAAAAATTGAACCTTTTTTTTCTACCGTTGGATTGTTGTTATTGCCACGTTGATCTGTCGGTCAGCTGGTGCAGTGGAGTGGTCCGGTGTTGGGTCAGAGTGCTGGTTTGTTGATTGGATCACTCCTGTTCATTCATCCAATGGCTGGACTGGTCTAATCAACAGTAATCCGATGGCTAATAATAGCACCGATGCAATGCCATCAGTTATTGAAGGATCAAATGCCTGGACTGACCCAATCAACACTGATCCAATGGCTAATAATAGCACACTGATCTAGGAAGATTTTCACACCCGGCTGGTCCTGCCTGGCGGGGCACCCGGGCGTGCAAAAAAAATCCCTCTCTGCCTACGGCTTACCGGGCAGCTCTGTTTGATGATATGTGTTTTGCTGGCTTGTGATGGGGTGTGAACCGACAGTCTGTAGAGTTTTCCATCTGGTGTGGGTGAGTGATAATCTGCTTTGATTTTCGTCATGGGTAGCTTGAGGGCAGTGGTTGGTGCCCACCTCAAGGTATCAGTTGTTGGGCAGTCGTTGATGCTTAACCACAACCGGGGTTAAGGTGGATTATCACTTACAGTGTAGTCAGTTAGGGGATTCTGCAGACTGTTGAGGGTTCAGCATCCTGATGAGTCAGTGAAACTCCGACGAAACAGTTTGTCACAGCCCCTTGTTTCTTGTCCTCTTCTCCCTCTCTGCCTACAGTTTACAAGGCAGCTCTTTTTGAATATATATATATATCGTCACAAATAGAACTGCCCGGTAAACCGTAGGCAGAGAGAGAGAAGAGGACAACAAACGAGGGGCTGTGACAAACTGTTTCGTCGGAGTTTCACCGACTCATCATATATATATATATATATATATCATATATATATATATATAGCCCCTCGTTTGGTGTCCTCTTCTCCTTCTCTGCTGACGGTTTACCGGGCAGCTCTGTTTGACTATATATATATTCAAACAGAGCTGCCAATATATACTCGTTTGTTGTCCTCTTCTCCCTCTCTGCCTACGGTTTACCGGGCAGTTCTATTTGACGATATATATATATATATATAGTCAAACAGAGCTGCCCGGTAAACCGTAGGCAGAGAGGGAGGGAGAAGAGGAAGAGGACAACAAACGAGGGGCTATGGCAAACTGTTTCGTCGGAGTTTCACCGACTCATATATATATATATATATCTTTTTGAATATATATATATATCGTCACAAATAGAACTGCCCGGTAAACCGTAGGCAGAGAGAGAGAAGAGGACAACAAACGAGGGGCTGTGACAAACTGTTTCGTCGGAGTTTCACCGACTCATCATATATATATATATATATATATCATATATATATATATATAGCCCCTCGTTTGGTGTCCTCTTCTCCTTCTCTGCTGACGGTTTACCGGGCAGCTCTGTTTGACTATATATATATTCAAACAGAGCTGCCAATATATATATATATATTTGACGATATATATATTTGACGATATATATATATATATATATATATATATATATATCGTCAAATAGACCTGCCCGGTAAACCGTAGGCAGAGAGGGAGAAGAGGACAACAAACGAGGGGCTGTGACAAACTGTTTCGTCGGAGTTTCACCGATATATTTGTTGTCCTGTTCTCCCTCTCTGCCTACCTTTTACCGGGCAGCTCTGTTTGACGATATATGTATATATATAACCTATCCCTTAAGCAGCATTGGCCGCGGGGGGGAGGTCCATGATGCGCTGTGCGCTGGATTCGGGTCGAAGTTTTGGTGAGGGGCAGCGGATGAAGGCGATCGAGGGCGGGGGAGTGTGCAGAGGGGTGCGCATACCAAAATGTTCACAGCGCGCCGATTAAACGAGAGCACGTGGCCCAGGGGCGGGGCACACTGCTGGCATTGATGCAGACGAACATCTTGGAGGTGAGCCATCCGATATGCGGACGTCTTCTTTTTTGTTTTGTTTTCCCTGGTTGGCCGTGGTTTTGTGTCCCCCTTCTCTTTTTTTCAGTTCTCGCACGGCTGTCGTTTTGTGCCCTCCGGTAGGCCGTCGTTTCTCGGAACGAACATCTTGGTGGCGAGCCATCCGAAATGCAGTGTGAGGTCACCCACTGCATTTGTTATTTCTGCGGCCGTAGCCCACACCGCTGCATTGATTCAATGGTTAATTAGTTTAGCCAGTTAAAATTGTTAAATACATTAATCATTAAGTTTAACTCCATTATTATTCATTTGTGTGGTGCGGCTTCCGCCTACACCTGAATACAACGTACGTCGTACGGTCATTATCGCTGTATCTAGACTGAAACCTGGCCCAAACACAGATATAATGACAGTTTGTCATACGTTCTATTTGGGGGAAGACGGTAATGGTGTAATGCTTTGGTTAGTCCAATAGATACGTCTGTGGATGGATGGTGATCCCATGTATTGGTCCTATGTCTTGGTCTGTCATTCATCAACGTATGTGGACAGACACGCCGAACATATTGCTGTGTTTTGTCTGGAAGGATGCATTTAAATGTCAGGCCTGGAAGGATGCATTTGTCTGAAAACTTTAGGGGGTTGTCTGTGATTTTTCAAGGCCTAAAGCCCTACCCAGTACTCCACCTTTGTGTACCTGACCTAATCTTACCTCTTAAGTACACTGCCGCACTGTTGCAAATTCGGTGCAAGAGTTTTGTGACTTTGCTCGTCTTCGTATGGACTTTTCATCTGCATCGTGGCCATCCTGCTACCTGCTATCTCATTTCCAGTTTTGCATCCTGCTCCCTCTCTGAGCAAGCTACAGGACTGGGGTATGGACCACCCTCCACCCCCTCTTACCCCCATTCCTCCCCGCCCCCTCCCCCGCCCCCGTTCTCTTTTTTTGGTCTGTATCTGTATCTCAATATCTGTAAATTTGCATGTTGTCTTGACGATATGTATATAACATTTTTTTTCTATTGCTTCTTCTTCGTATTTGACATGCACAAATCACCATCAAGAGCGTGGATCTCTTCGGAGAAAGAGTGGGCTTCGTGAAATTCAAAGCAGAAGTGGTGGACAAAGACACAGGATCAAAGGTGAGTGGAGTACCCCTGCTCTGTGTTGCCATTGTGCCACATCACTCAGCAAAAAGGAGGGGGGGGGGGGGGGGAAGGGGTTGCAATGTCAGTCAATCCTTAAACCACCAGTACTCCCTGAATTCGCTCCGCGTATACGGCCAGCCAAAAGTGGAAACCGCGCCGTTTACACTTGGCTGAATCGGGCCTACCGGCCCCGGCCCGTTCATCCCAAATTTCACTCCGCATATACGGGAGCGTTTTCAGGAAGTACTGGTGGTTTAAAATAAACAAGGGGATGCCCGCCGCACATGCGGCGGGGAGCATGAGGGGGGCAGCGGACGCAGGGTCCCAGCAAAGAACCGCACAACCAGTCCCAGCGACACCGTCGGAGGCGACAAAAAAAAAAAAAAGGCATTGGAAGGTATCTGACCGAAATCGGGCATGCCATGTACTTGTTGTATTTGAACATGTGACTAACACAGCGCGATCGGCTGGCTGTGCCGTCGCATCGCCCCCCAAAAAAAGCCGAGTCCACTCAAGAGCCTCCTAGCTCGGTGGGTACACCGGTACACCCATGAACACTGTTGACATTCAGACCTGTGTTCGAATCCAGGTGATGATGGAACAGGGGATGTAACTTGATGAGTAAGACCAATTGCCTAGGGCCGGTCAGCTCAATGATGGATGATATCTCAAGGCCGTCACCTGCTGGGTAGTGGAGCGAGGACCTAAGAGCACTGCCAGGTCGGACCTCGCTCCACTACTCGCCAGGGGAAAAAAGAAAAGAAAAAAAAAAAAAAAAAGAAGTGCTGAGAAAAAAAAAAAAAGGACGATTCCATTCTTTTGTCGTTTGTGTTCGTGGTGAGTAGTGAAAGCGAGGCCCTCTCCACTGCTCAGCAAACGGACAGAGGGCCTGGCTGCAGTACTCTTGAAATGTGCAAAATGAGACTGGATGCACCGCGAGAACATGGAAAGATACATTATTACATTACCATCTTTTTTTTCTTTTGTGCATCTGGAAAGTAGAGTGCAGCCACTACCAAAGTCCAAAAGAATTTTCCCCTGAAACAGTGAAAGATACACCGCCATACTTTGGGCCTTCCTTGCTGAACCACTCTCCAAATGTGCAAAATGAGACTGAATCTACCGCTAGAACATGGAGAGATACATTGCCATCTTTTTTGTCTTTTGTGCATGTGGAGAGGAGTCCAGCGAGGCCCTTTCGTCGGGCCCTTCTCGAAAAACGACAAAAAGGGGAAGAATATAATCTACTGGAAAAAAACAACAACAACGAAGAATATACTGGCCAAAAGAAATAACTGCTCTGCACGTTGCGGCGCTATGCACCCGGCGAGTCGGACACGGCAGCAACTCGTCATTTCGCTGGGCCCGCCACTTGTCCCAGCAGCTTTCCCAACACTGGAAGGCGGGTCTGCGTGGGAGCGTTACGCGAGACCCGCAATTCCCTTGAAGAGTATAGACTCTAGAGATAAATACTTGCCTAGGTGTGGAAAGAGGGGTTTAGCAATGTTAATAATCTTTGAATTTCACAAAGCCCACTCTTTGATCAGTCTTGAAATTGACAGCGCAGAACGCAAACAGAACAGGAGCTTGGGTGCTGCTCCCCACACAGAGCAGAGTTAGGTAGGAATAGGGAATAGAGTCAATAGAGTCAATAGACCCATAACCTTAGGGATAGCTCAGGCATAGTTGGTACATTTAAGGCTGTCTCCTGAATAGAGAAATTGTGTCCTCCGGAAGAGAGGTTAGGGTGAGGTAGATACAGGATTGAGAGGATAAAATAGGGTAGCAAAAAATACAGCTTGTCCCCCATATATGCGGAGAAGACAGCTGTAATTTTTTGAGGAAAAAAAAGAAAAGAACAGGTAGCTATCTGTTTCTACTTAGCACAGTCAATTTGACTTTGACTCAATTAGGATCAGCAGTCTGTCCAACTAACTAATCAAAGAGAAAATAGGTAATTTGTTCTTTGACATGCATGACAAGCGGAAACATATACTAATTTTAGTAATTTACAGATCGAGTTTTGAGCGGGAACCTACCCCTTTCTGATATCCCCTTAGTCGTCCTTTCCCAACGGCATCATCAGACATCAAAATTGAAAAGCACCGGTGACTTACCGTGAACCGGTCCACCCCCTTGCCCAAGCAGTCGATGGCTGGCCAGCCCCGGCCATAATTTCTTTACAGCAGCATGCGGTACACAACTCGGTTTCCCCGCCGGAGAGTCCTTATAGACGGTCTGGCTCACGTCTTTCCCCCAAAGGACTGGCCAGTCCGAAGCTACTTCTGCGCACAGCAAGAGCAAAAGGACGTCAGCGCATGCATGTGTGTACTGCTCCAACGGGTTGACTTTCGTCGTGACCCATGCTTCCGTCCTCCCAGGGCACTTCACAGGCACACCACCCTTCTCCCACCAGTTGCGCCCGAAGAATGCCGACCACGAGAGGACTCTCTCCCTTCCACACAGTAAGAAGCCGCGATAAAGGACGGTATATAACCTCAGAGACAACGTACCTTGATAATGCTGCCCCCAACCACAGATTTCCCACAAGCCGTGCTGACGTACTATTTTATGACTGGTCGACGGTCGTAGCTTCGGAACCACCAACAATACAATGCAAGTGCGTCCTCGGCAATAGCATCGTCGTCACCTGACTCACATCACTAATGATGCACCTCAAGCATACCAACTTACGGAGCCTTCCAGCAGCGTCACTCTCTACCCAGTGACCGGCTTGGACACATCAGCACGATCGTACTCACACTGCATGACACCATGCACGTGCACCGAAGCATCCAAAAGCGCTGAAGCCGAATGGAGAGAAAGCCTACCAACCAGCTCTGATACCAAATTGCAAGGAAATGAGGAAATGCGAATGACAATAAACCAGATTGCAGCATTCTACGGAAACGAGTAAGAAGACCGGTTAGGCAATATACATCGGGATGATCAAATGGTCAGGTGCTGACAGGCCTGTCATATATGCCTAGAAGCCAGCCTCTGCATTGTCTGCAACAACCTGGACTTTATTTTTTTTTTTAAATAAATAAAAATTGAGCCTGAACTGAAAGCAGTTTGCGAACCGAGATAACACCAAATAATTTTATTTAAGTGTGAGCAAAAGCATTGAAGTCACATGATAAAGAAAGCCCCTTCTCGCCTCCAATCACCAATGTCAACACCGTAGCTCTCCTACATAGGCAGTTGGCGCCCAGACAACGAACAGACAGCAGCTCCTATTGACCTGGACTCCTAGCTACGACAAAAGTTTGCAATGAAAATCATCAGCCCGATGACGAATGAAGACTCCTACCGTCTTCATCCGAATATTTCTTGTTTATATTCTATAGAATTAGATTTCATTTATCTAATAGTAGTAATATTCTGTAATGTAACTTATTTTATCCTGGTAATTATTGCCGTATCTGGACTGAAAGTTGCACCAAATAAAAGCTATAATGACCGGGCGTTCTGTTCAGGTGAAGACGGTAGTGAATGGCCTGTTACTTCTCCACCAGGTAAGTGACCCGTCACACGGCCCAGCCCTGCTTATCCCCGCACAGTCCCCTTCGCCCAAGGACCTCCGCTATTTCCCATCCGGCAAGGCGTCCATGCAGCCCTGCGTGGCGCTGCCCTGCTGCTTTGCCCAGCAGCTCCCACACACTCCGCCAGCGCCCTCTTCCCTCTGGTGCGACTCTCCTCTGCTCAAGCAAGCCCACCAGCAGCGCTATGGCATCCAGCCAGCCAGACTGTGGGAAGTGAGGCAGCCTCACTTCTTTTCCGCTCTCCGAGAGGCTTGTGGCCTGGCTCACGTGGTTGCGCCCCCTCCGTCCTTCCAGAACCTCCGCGGGCCCCAACTGTATGGGCCCCGGGCCTCAGATTGTTTGTCTGGGCCTGGGCATCTTCAACCAACTGGGGGTCCGTCCCTACCTGTTGGGTGGAGATGCTACGTGTGGCAACCAACCCACGGCCCCCCAGTTTCTGCTCTCACAGGCCTGAACTCGGGCCAATGCCAATTTTTTGCAGCCCGGTAATTATTGCCGTTCTGGACTGAAATCAAATACAGCTATAATGACCGGGCGTTGTATTCGGGTGAAGAAGGTAGTGAATGGCCTTTTTCCAGAATGGGTTTATTTATGTGTTTGTCAAAAATTGTGAGGAGTAAGTGAAGCTCCCCAGCATGCTGGAAAAGGGCCCCAGTTTCCAGCATGCTGGGGAGCTTTACTTACTCACAATTTTTGACAAACACATAAATAAACCCATTAGTATTTGACATTTGTGTTTTGCCCCTGATGCCGTCTGTACGACAAACTGCTGCCACCGACCCAAGTTCAGTCTTGTTACTTCACTCAACCCACAACTGGCATGACATTATCCGACGTACTTTTTTTTTTTTTTTTTTTT